AGATGCAAAACCACTTCAAATTACCGAACTGCTCACTGCTGCAACACAGAAGATTATGAAATCCTGGAAAACCGAAAGTGTAGAAATATCCAGAATCAAAGTAAGAGTCTTTCTTACCTTGATCACCAAAACACTGAGGCCTAAACTCCTGGGCATTATATCCACGTTCAAAAGTGATGGGAACTATACATTAGCCATTTTCTATGACAAGGCTTTGACAATTGCCTTCTGCCGCTTTGACAATTGCCTCCTGCCACATTATAGCTGCATAAGGTAATTAATGAATATGCCAACCCACCTCAGCCATTTCACCTCTCTGATTTTCTCCCTATCACACACCTCCAGGTACGCTGTCACCTAAAGGAGATCTATGCTCACAGCTTACACTTTCATTTTATAAAATTTATTACATCAGCATTGTAATAACTATACAAACAATAGATATTATTGACAATCCTGTATAAGTTTTCATGAAGAATCTCCTTCCATGCTATTGCTGCCTGTCTGCTGGCTATCTCTTTCCACAATATCCTGGACTCCTTGCATGCTTTGCAGCTTTTCCTCTGCTGTTTACCTTTAGTTTCTAAGGACTACATATCCCATGGTACCTTGCTGCCTGGAAACAGTGATTTCTGTACTGACTTTGCCTCCTGAAACTCCTCCTCTCAGCCCCTCTGTAGTTCAGAAGGCAGACTCTATAAATTGTGTGACACAGCAGTGCCTAGTCACAGTGCATAGTAAATACTTGTCACAGAATTCAAAGGGGTAAATGTGTGAGGACCTTCACAAAGCATGTTTACAAACTTCAAGATTGTTAAGAGTAATAGAAGTAGGCTAGAAATAATTGAAATATAATGTGGAAATGGAAATAGAATTTTACATTTTGACTTTAGAAAACGTTTAAATGCTAGCAACAGATTTTGCCTGTAGTATCAATTTAATTTCATGCTCTTGGTTGGGTACACTAATTATTATATAAAAAGATACAAGTGCTACAAATTTATAGAATACAACTGAATAGCAAGTAACTAAAATCAACCGGTCGTGACCTATTTGTATAACAATGTTGTGATAAAGTAGCTTGATGGAAGCTTTGTGTTAAATTATTGCTATGTGGCAGTAGCACAGCATACACTACAAATTGCCCAATTTAATCTGAAAACCCTTTTTTAAATCGTGATCTCCCCCAGGCATCATAGGGCTCTTAACATCACATAACCTTCTTTGAGCATTTAAAAAGCTGTCCAGCTAATAGGTTTCCTCCAGATCAATATCTGTTTGATTTCCCAAAAGGAAAAAAAAATATACTGGTGATGAATAAAAGATCAAACCACAGAACGGAAGTTTCCGCTGCTCTGATTGATTATATCCATGTACACAGAGGGGCAATGAGAAACAGACCCAGCAGACCATATAGAATTTCTATTTGACAAGGTAGAATGTTGTTTTATTGCAGAATTACAGGTAAATAACACAGTGTAATAACTGATCTGCAGATGTTTTAAGGACTAACAGAAAACTGCGAAACAAAGTTTGGGGCTTGCCTTATTTGTATGTCAGGTTAAAATAGAAAGAAAACACATCTAGTACACCTCTTCAATAATTGCATATTTTCTCAACTTTAAAAATTCTGCAAGTACAACGTACAGAAAAAGACTCAATGCCTTTGTATCTCTGAAATCCCATATAGTGATATCAACCCTGCTGCAGGACTTCAGAACTCCATCTATCCCCACCCCTCTCTGGCCCTCTCCAAATGCCTACTACTTCTTTCCCAGCAAACCAATGGTGCCTTATTGATGAAGTATGCACCACTCCTAACATGGACGATCAGCCTGTCACTTCCACCAGTGCCTTGGGTCCTACAGGGCTCCCAAGGCCTTAAAACCGTTTCTGTATGAAGAATGGAAGCATTCTGATCAGGTTTATTACTTTTTTAATATATTTATAAACGATATAGGTTCTAGGATTAAAAATCCCATTTCAGTCTTTGCAGATGACACCAAGCTGTGCAGTGGAATAACGTCCTTACAGGAAGTCTTCAACTTACATGCCGACCTCAATGCACTGTTTAATTGGGCAACTATGTGGCAAATGAGGTTTAATGTTGATAAATGTAAAGTTATGCACTTGGGGGCTAAGAATATGCATACATCATATTATACTGGGGGGGGGGGGGTACAACTGGGGGAATCAATGGTGGAGAAGGATCTGAGAGTTCTCGTAGACCACAAGCTCAGTAATGGAATGCAATGCCAAGCTGTGGTTTCTAAAGCGAGCAAAATCATCTCTTGTATTAAAAGAGGTATAGACTCCAGAGAGAGAGATATCATATTACCCCGGTACAAATCATTAGTAATACCTCATCTGGAATATGCAGTTCAGTTTTGGGCACCAATTCACAAAAAGAACATTGGGGAACTGGAGAAAGTACAGAGAAGGGCAACCAAACTGATAAGAGGCATGGAGGAGCTCAACTATGAGGAAAGATGAGAGGAACTGAATGTATTCTCTCTTGAGAAGAGGAGATTAAGGGGGGATATGATCAACATGTATAAATACATCAGGGGTTCATATAGTGAACTCGGTGTAGAGTTATTCACCCTGAGGTCATCAGAGAGGACAAGTGGGCACTCTTTATGCCTGGAGGAAAAGAAATTTAATCTCAAAATACGGAAAGGTTTCTTCACAGTAAGAGCTGTGAAAATGTGGAATAGACTCCCTCAAGAGTTGCTCTGGCCAGCTCAGTGGATTGCTTTAAAAAAGGCCTGGATTCTTTCCTAGATACACAGAATATAACTGGATATAACCTTTATAGGTAAAGTTGATCCACGGAATATCCGATTGCCTCTCATGGGATCAGGAAGGAATCATGCTTTGCTGAGTTTTTTGCCTTCATCTGGATCAACTATGGATGTAGGATTATAACTTTTTTTTTTTAATGTTTAAACTGAATGGACTTTTGTCTTTTTTCAGCCAGACTATGTAACAATGTTTTTACTCCTCCCAAAAGCTTTGTGCCCCTGTACCCACTTAGAGAGGGAGGAGTGTGTCACCAAGTGGTATGTCCCTACTGTGGATCGAGCTATTTCTCCCCTTAACAAGGCAACTACTATATCTGTAGACAATGCTCTTATCTTTAGAAAACTCAACGATCAGAGGATAGAAGCTCTTTTTAGAGCCATGCTCTTTTTAGAATGCCCTGCTTTACTTCTGGTTCTGGCTGTATTTCTACTCTACTCAAACCATGGCTGAATGGTTCAGATCCCTTAAAAAGAATTTGTCCAATGCTGACATTGACCCATAGATCATTGGTCAACTAAATCAGATGTCCCTGGCTCTGAACTTTGGCTGTGTGAAGGGCTTTTTGGTTCAAGTGCTGAACTGTGGAATGCATTTGCAAGAAACATTTGCTGTGCATGGTCTTTGAGGAAAAATGTCTCTTTAGATCAACTCTGGATGGTAAGCTTAACCTGGCAGTCAAAGTCTGCCAACGCCACAGACAAACCCTCCTTGGCAAGAAGGTGCAACCTTACTTTCCAGTAGCAGGTCTGTTGAGCTTTGTAGCTTCTTGGAAAACTTGCATACTCAATGCCTGGGTGCAAGAGCTGGTGACCAGGGTTACAAGCATGAGTTTGCTCCACCTGCCTCTTCCCAACTTTCTAACCTGAAATCTCCCTGTGCCCACTCAGTGCCTTGCCGATTTTCAGTGGGTGCTCTATGAACTCTCAGAACAAGTGATCATTGCTTCAATCCCTTCTCAGTGTTTCTATCCTAGATGGGGCATTCTCCCTAACCTAACCTCAGACTCTCCAGAACAGGTTCATGCACTCTAGTCCAGGAGCTTTCAAACTCTCCGCTTCTGCATGAGAGTTTTGAGGCTAATGGTTGTCTCCAGTTCAGTGTTCTGGAAAATCATGATGCCAGTTTATTGGGTTGGTTGGGAGTTCTGGGCACTCTGTCAGTACAAGGAACTTGGTTGTAATCAAATCTCATCTCCCAATAAGTATTCTAGAGCTGCTTTCATTTTGGCTGTTTCTTCAGAATTGGACTTACCTTTTGGCAGGTCATCTAATTCATATCCAGCAGGACGACCCCATGGTGTTGGCATATATATTAATCCCCGTGCTTCTCATTCATTGGCTTTAAACTACATGGCTGTTAAAGCCCAGGCTGTAAGCAACAGATATATCTCTGAGTCTGTTATTCTTACACTGCTCAAGTTTGTGAACTCTACTTCCCAAAAGATCTATTTAATTGGTTGTGCGCCCAAGGGCTCTCACCCCAGGAATTTCTCTGTGGGACAGATCCTTTCTTTCCTGTGGTTGAGTCTGGACCAGCTTGGGTCCTCATTGCCATGAAGGGTCAGAACCCCAAAAATCTTTAACATCCCAATTTCTGATCAAAACTTTTGTGCAGGGTGGTTTCCCATTTGGTTCCCCTGTTTAAGTCCTGCTTGCATCTGTGGTATTTGAATTTTATCCTCTTACTGCTTCAGAATCTCCAGTGTAGACCTTTATACACATTCCTGTTCTGGCAGGTGAGGTAGTTTTTCTTGCAAACATTACCTTGGCTAGACAAGTGTCTGAACTGCCAGCCTTCCATTGCAAGGAGCACTTTTTAGTCCTGAATAAGGACAAAGTGGTGTTGTAGCCTAAAATGGTCTCTGCCTTCCACTGTAACTAGGATATAGTCCCTGTGTCTGGCTTAAGTTTATCAAAAGGAAATCTACCCTTGTCTGAATGTGATCCAGGTTGTAGGAGTTTAATTCTTAGAATCAGTCTTCCCTTAACCACCTTCCGCCCGCCCTATAGTACAATGACGGGCGCAAGGTGCTTCTCTCGTTCCGATAGGATGTCATATGACGTCCTACCATTCTCACTGCGCATGCGCGGCTCAGGGAGCGCGCAGAGCGGCGATCGCCGGTGCGCTGTGTCCCTCGGACACAGCGGATCACGGAAAGAGCTGAAGATGTCGGCTCTGTCATGTGATCAGCTGTGTCCAATCACAGCTGATCACATGTAAACACGGAAATGCCGGTTATCGGCATTTCTCTCCTCTCGAGCTGTCACGCCGACAGCTCGAGAGGAGAGGAGAGCCGGTAATCGGCTTTCTGTGGAAGAAGCATGTACACTGATCATCAGGGCACTGATGATCAGTGTGCCCTGATGATCAGTGTGGCCCCAGAAGTGCCACCTGTCAGTGCTCATCAGTGCCACATGCCAGTGCCCATCAGTGCCACATCAATGCCACATATTAGTGCATACCAGTGCACATCAATGCCACATATCAGTGCCCATCTGAGCTGCCTTTCATTGTCACCCATCAGTACCAGTCAGTGCCACCTATCAATGCCAATCAGTGCCACCTATCAGTGCTGCCAATCAGTCGCCTATCAGTGCGCATCAGTGCCAGTCAGTGCCGCCTATCAGTGCCATATATCAGTGTCATGTATCAGTGCTGCCTTTCAGTGCCCATCAATGATGCCTGTCAATGCCCATCAGTGCAACCTACCAGTGCCTCCTCATTGGTGCCCATCAGTGCTACCTATCAGTGTCCATCAGTGCAGCCTATCAGTGCCCATCAATGCAGCCTCATTAGCGCACATCAGTGAAGGAGAAAAATCACTTATTTACAAAATTGTGTAACAAACTTTTTTTTTTTCAAAATTTTCAGTGGTTTTTGGTTTGTTTAAGAAAAAATAAAAATCCCAGAGGTGATTACATACCACCAAAAGAAAGCTCTATCTGTCTCAAAAAAATGATAAAAATTTCATATGGGTACACTGTTGCATGACCACGCAATTGTCATTCAAAGTGTGACAGCGCTGAAAGCTGGAAATTGGCCTGGGCAGGAAGGGGGTATACAGTAAGTGCCCGGTAGGCAAGTGTTAAAGTGTTGTAAAGGCTCAGGGTTTTAATCTTCATGCGTTCTATAGGATGTCATATGATCCCTTCAGACGAAGTCCGGAAGTGACGAAACGCGTTAGAGGAGTGACGTCAAGGCACACGTACGTAGACCGGAAGTGTCGCCGTGGCCATTTTGTTGGTTGTTAACACATGGTGTTTGGTTGGAGAAGTTTCTAACCATGTCTGGAGCTGAAAATTCTAATTTTAAATGTAAGCGTTGAATAAAAGTTATCCATTTACTTGAAATACTAGTCCTGAGACCCTGTTTATCTCTCTGAGGACCTTGGAAAGAAAATAAATATCTTGGAAGATGAGGTGGAGGAATATTTTTCCATAATATTGTCTGAGCATTTTTAATACTCACAAGAGGGTAATAGTACTTAGTACTACTGTGTGCTGGTTGATGGTAGACACTGATTTGCAGTGACCACAGAGTGTTCACAGTTTGTTGTGTGTGATTATATGCACTATAAGAAATTAATTTAATTATTTATTTATTTTTTTTTACTAAAAGTGTTTTTGAAGTGTATTTTGTTTACACGGGGTGATTATTGTTATTTTTTATTATTATTGAGGTAATGCACTAGATATTTTCATATCTTATTTCGAGGTGCGTTTTGGATGGAATAGCAGCCAATCCTTTCAGTGGATGAAAAGAGTGAATATATTTGGGATATTTGTGGACACTATTTTGGACTTCTTTTTGACATTTTTCTGGATTAGTGGGACTTTGTTGCACATTATATGTTTAAAATTTGAAATTGATTTATTTATTGTATTTATTTATTTTTTCACAAAAAGGTTGTATATACAGGAAGGGGGTATAAGTGCCCTGTAGGCTAGTGGTTAAAGAAGATGTGGATCTTTTTGTTATTCTGGATGGGCTCAGTAAGGTTGCCCTCTCTTCACCCTATGTCATTTCTAGATGGCTCCGGAGGACCATCATACAGGCCAGTTAAAGCTCACTCAATACCAATACTGTGAGCAATTCTTGAGGATTTTTGCATCAGACCTCTGTTTTCAAGGTTAGTAAGGCTGCCATTTAGTCTTTTGTTTGTACATTCTGTATAATTCCAGGTATATATTTTTTCCTCATCTGATGCCAGCTTTAAGTATTAGGCCCTTCAGGTGACTCTTTGAGCTGCAGGCAGTCCCCTGTTCTTGTTGGGTAAGTTAGCTATTTTTGGCTGTTGCCCACTCCTGATTTTGGACATCCCAAAGATTTAAAACTTCCTGTGCCCCTCAATGGATGAGAAAAAAAAATATGGATTTTGTACCCACCATAAAATCCTTTTTTGGAAGGCATATAATGATGCCCCTGTATTTATAATCATGCTCCTGGAATAGCTTTGCTGCCCAACTGAAACATACTGATTGTAGCAGTGATTATCCCAGGGCTGTGTTACAGTTTTTGGGGTTTTTTTTGCTCATCTGTGTCCAGTCCTCCTATAGGAAGCAGTATGCCCAAATGTTTTAAGACTTCCTGTGTCCCTCAATGGACTCCAAGAAAAGTATTTTACAGTGAGTACATAAATCCTATTTATTTCCTACAAGAACAATGCAAAAAAATGAAATGAAACATTGAAAGAATACAAGGACATGTTCTAGAGATGAAGAGGGATTACCTTGTGAAGCGACATACTTCACTAGACAACTGTGCCACTGCCAGAAACATTCCTGGAATTTGTTTCCCGGAACGCTGCATGGTATCTTTGTGGCGGCACACTAAATGTTGGCAATGTCAATCGAATTTGTGTCCTTTTAAGGCAATTTTTTTTTAATTTTGACAACAAAAGTCACAGGGTGCCAAGTCAGGGGAATAAGTTGGTTGGTCAAGTTTTGGAACTGATTTCTGAGCCAGGAACTCAAAAACATTTAACGCATCATGTGCAGGAGCATTGTTTTGGTGGAGAATCCAATTGTCAGGGCAAATACTGATGGGTAGACCACCAAATGACTGCCAAACCCCAGGTGACGAAACTAACTTTTCTGCTTTACAGGAGGAATATGTAAAACATCTGGTAAGTGTGTTATCTGAAAACCAAGAAAAGGTGTATGTCACCTTTCCTCCTCTTTCCACAGATCCCACTCATCCATTCCTGCCGGGTGACAAAGTCCTGATCAAACAACTGGCTGCAAGGAAAAAGACGGGACCCATTTTTCAAGGCCCATTTGAAGTCCTTAAAGTCACCAGAACAGCAGTTCTAACTGACCAGACTCCACAATGGATCCATGCATCGAGGTTGAAGAAATACTCAGAGATGAGGGACTCCCCAAGAGGTTCGCCAGAACAAGAGAACACAGTTTCTATGCCCCCCGACATCCCACCCCAGAACTCTTGAAGCTGATACCCCCAGCACAACAGCACACTTTTACCCGTTGGATGAATGGATACCCCACCCCATTGCATCCCACTGACCCACAGACATTGGAGGAGTTATACATAACTGAAACTGTTAACATACATATGATCAGTATGCTAGAAGATCCATCTATTAATTAGACACTGAATGAACCTCATCCACTTAGTGCACATTTTCAGTTCAAAATGTCAAAATGAGACTTACTGATGACAAATGAAAGAATCCTATAAGACATAGACAGCTTACATCCCAAAGGCCTCAAGACCCGGAGGAAGATGAATCTCAGGACAAAGGGGATTCCGAGATAACAAAGGACCCCCTTTCTTCTGACAACCAATCAAATAGTGGAAGGTGCCAAAATATTCGGAAGTGGTACCAGGGTATTCCAAAGATTTATAAAAAAATTAATTGCACCTTATACACTAGCACTTCTTTTTGCAATTTTTATTTATTTATATATTTAAAATTTGCTATATGGGGAGTGGGTAAGACTATGAAGCTAGCAGTTAAGCACAAGAGCCCAGACTCCACCTCTCCAACAGACGGCTCCAGGCTTGCTTTGTTTGGACAATCCAGAGAGGAGGTGTGGTATTCTGAGTGATCATGTTGAACAAAGGTTCAATATGATCAAAGAGGGGGGTTGTGGGGAAATATGAGCTAGGGCTATTGATTCAGGTATACCATTTTGTATTCATTATGCTTACATTGTGATAAGAGTTAGAGTGATGTTTTAAGTAGATGAAATTATTATGTCTTAAGTAAATGATATAAGATATGTCAGCATTATTTTCAAGCTTATATGGAAAATTTTAATATGTGTATGTATGTAACAAGTACAACCGCAAAATGTAACAGGAAGAACGCTAGACTGCAGGTGTCTGCAAAATATCGTAGAAAACATAGATAGATGTTCAGATATGAGATCTGGGAACACAGCCAAAAAGGCAGGATGTACTGACTGAGGTTTAAACAGTTTAGTGAAAGGTGAACCTTGTTTAGTATCTGGGTAAAATTAAAAGGTACGCTTTGCTATTGGATAAGTTAGGTTTGTCTTACTATTGGATAATTTGGGTTTGTGGTTTTTATCTTTATAAACTGTAATGTACGTAATAAACTTTGCAATCTTCCTGTATCCTACTTGAGTGTTGGTTACTTTGATTGCCCGATCGCGATCGAGCCCGTGCCACACCCAGATGCTGCGCAGCACAAAGAAAATATAAGAAATAAGAATATAAGGATTCCAGGAAAGAGGGAATACCTTCCAACTTCCAACTGGATGGACTGCAGTGGGATCCTCTCAGGATTCAGAAGAGAACAAGAGAGGGGGCAGCTGCTTACCTGCCATCTCAAGGGGGGCATGCTGGATCAGCGCTCCCCCCCACCTGGAAACAATGGCTTGTGGCTATATGAGATCTGGATTCGGGACCTAGGAGAGTATGCCTCAGATCATAGGGTAAGAGGGGAAAGACGACTCTCAGTATGGGTTAGAGCAGATTGGGGGGGGGGGGCATTTTTTTTCCTGGAATGGGGCTTTAAGCATTTGCAAGATATATACTCAGCACAACTTCCATTCTATGTAAAAGTGGAATGTTTACACATAGTGCCGTCTGAAGGCTCTGTACTCTGGTAGATAATAGGGAGTGGCTTTGCAAAATTGGGGACATATTTAAAAAGGAGTTTGCAGATCAAGTCAAGTTCACCTGCCCTGTATCTTCAATGATTGCCTTCTCCAAATGGCAAAATCTAATTGACCCTGGTGACTATAACATTTGCTGTGTTATATTCATCTGAGCCCTTCAGTCCTAAGACCAGCCAGTGAGACAGTGGAAGGCAAATAATCATCCATTCTTGAGGGGAACACATTCTCATCAATGGCAAAAGGCACCATGGCCACTTATGCACAGCCTTCTGTGTAACAATCATGAAATATAAAAGTGGTGAACCTCTTTAATATACATGTAAACACTCTTTAGCAATTGTAATATATAGCATAGTACTTTGCCATTCCATTTCTGCTCTTCTTCCATGTTCCTCATCAGTGTTCAAAGTGCTTTCAAACCACAATAGTTTTTTCACAGGCACAGCCTGTACTGCCATGGCATGCAGGATTCTGCAGAAATACACTACCCTGGAGTTGGAGAAATTATT